TGAATCTGCCAATAATAGTTTTTAAACACATGTTTAACAAGTGAATACCCACACCTACCGGGTCCAACAATAAAATTTCTAAAAAAACCTTTTCTTTGTATAAAAAAAGGAGAGATAAAAAAGTTCTAAAAATCTGACCTCATATTCTGCTTCCCCGACCCCGATTGCCTTTGATCAAACTTTATAAAGAAAGATTTTATTGTAAAAAAATTGGTTCTTTGTGTAAAAGAACTAATTTTGGAACATTTTAAAAAACTGATAATAGAATTGAATTCCTCGACCCCAAAAACCTATTGGTGAGTTTTCATTGATTTGGCGAATGCTGAATTCTGATTCGCTTGGTCGGACAGACAGACAGACAGACAGACAAAATTTAAGCAATTTTAGGCCCATGATTTTAACGTGATATAACCCTTTCTTTCAGAAAAGGGAATTATATTTATTAAATAAATAAGTTTTTAAGCTGAAAAAACTCATGTCAAACTTGATTTTTTCGTCTATCTTTATTGTATTTTTTTATAAAGTTAATATGATGATTTATCAGTTGTATTATGTCATTAGGTAGACTATGCCTCCCTTAGTAAACCCCCAAGTATGACCAAAAAATAACGAAAAACTATTGCAGGAGAAATAATCTAAAAACAAACTACCGTAGGCCGACTTACGATGCAAAGCACTGTAAGATAATAGTTCAGTTATGGATCAAAAACCCAAGGGGGAAAATGCAAACTTTTGCACTTCAAGTGAATTTAAGCCACTTTATGCTACTTTGCACTACTTTATGCTACTTTGCACTACTTTAAGTTACTTTACGCTACTTTTAAAATACTTTATGCTACTTTTAAATTACTTGACGCTACTTTTAAACTACTTTACGCTACTTTAACCTACTTTATACCACTTTACACCACTTTCCGCTACTTCAAGATACTTTAACTACTTCAACATACTTCACACTACTTCAGCATACTTCACGCTACTTCAAGATACTTTAACTACTTCAGCCTACTTTAAGCTACTTTGTAGTACTTCAAGCCAATTTAAAATACTTTAAGCAACTTCCAGTTACTTCAAACTACTTCACAGTTTATTAATATAACTACAGATATATATTCTAGATACCATGGTCATAGATCGTTTTGTTTTTGCTAAATAATAATATGATATAAAAAAAATCAATATATACAGAGGAAAAAGCTACATAAATTATAGCATTACATGAGCATTTTAATAATTTATTTAAAAAAAGATAAAAGGTAAAACAAACAATCACACACGAGTTAAAATGAGTTAAAACAGAGAAGAAGAAAATGTTCATGTACGACTTCTTTTTGTAGGACGATGTTGTTGTGACTGTGATGCCAGAGGACGTTTACCATTATGTGTCCCTTGAGCTGCTAATGCTGGAGAATTAATATTAGATGTTGCTTGAGCAGTAGTGGGTGATAAGACATCACGAAACTGTATTGATGATACGTTTGATTGAGATAAAGGTGTTGTTGCTACAGGTAATGTTAATGATTGTTGTTGTTGTTGTTGCTGTTCTTGTTGTTGATCTTCTTGTTGTGGTTGTGGTTGTGGTTGTGGTTGTTGTTGTTGTTGTTGTTGTTGTTTTGATCTATTGTCATTTGCAGCTTGTTTTATTTTTTTCATATGATCGCAAGCTATTGATAGCAAGTGTTTATAATAATTTGACACCTGAATTTTATTATTATTTTTGCCTAACATGATTAATCTTCCACATTTACATTTAATACTTGCATTTATATCAGAAATTTGATCACCATCAATATTGATTGTATAATCAACATCTTGTGCTAAGTTAAATGCTTCTATGCCTACATTTTCTTTATTATCACAACACCATTTGTTTATAAATCTAACAATATATTCTTTATGTTCACTTATAGATAACGAAGTAGGTTTAGTTGTTGTTTGCGTTGTTGGTGCTAATGAACATAAAGATGATGAGTCGACATTAGATAATTGTTGTCGCTGTCGCTGTTTTTCCACTGGTTGTTTTAATAGTTCATCATGTTTAATTTTTAAATCTTCTTTCAATGATCGAAATCCTGAAACTACACCGGGTTTTATTAAATATTTTTCATTTTTTAGTTTAAAACACAACTGTTCCTTCAATGATTCTAATTCATGATCATCAATATCTTCATTGAAGACATTAAGTGGATCTTCAATTAGTAATAGTGATGATGTTGATTTCACTGATATTTTTAGTAATAACTTGGCTTCAGGTTCACCAAGAATTTTTTTTGTAAACTGAAAAAATTCTTGACCACACAATGTTAATACATTTAATGGTAAATAATCGAGAGTACGAGAAATCGGCATAATAATCTTCTAAAATTAAATTGCAACAATAGTATAGAATTGTTTAGGAAATTAGATTAGGTTTTTGAAAATGCCTTTGAAACAAATTAAATGAATAAAACAATGAACAATAACGTTACTTAGACTAGGTCACAAGTGAATTATTGGTGAAAACAATTAAGCAATCGAAAAGTATAAGATCACTTATATTATATTTTTTCTTTATGGTGAATTCCAATGCTTTTCACAAAGTGGTGACACCTGCAAACATATATAGAAGGAAGGAATCATATCACTCCCAATGATTCTTTTAAAAGTATATCAATAGATTATACATAATATACTACAATATTTAAAATCTTATTCATATCTTTTCTGAATTTATATTTATCAATACAGATCGTTTTAATTATAACAGTATCCGAACAGCATTACTGACAAACTACTTAAAATATATATAAACAAAATAAATTTACAATTATTGCTGAAGTTTTTTGCTTATAAAGAATTTATATCTGAAATCTTACAGTTCTAAGTTCATTAGCATAATCATTTTTAATATATCACGTAGCATTTATTGTTCAAAATGAATTCTCAAAACAATGATAATTCAACAATCGATACATCGGTATTACCGAATGATATTTTTACACGTGTTGGTGATGATTTTTTTTCCATTGTTCAGTTATTAGCTGGTGATGCTGTACGTGATATTTTACAAATACAATTGATTAATTCGGCAACGAAACTATTAAATATAGAAAACGTATTCGCATTTTTTCAAATTGAATCTGACGAAACGGACATTATAAAAGCTGAATCATGTTTTAAATCTAAAACTGGAGAATATATTGTTAAACCAGGTATTCAAACCAATTTATCAAATTTCGTAAAGTTATTAAAACATAAATTAATAGAAGAACAATTAATACAGAATGAAAATAACGAAACTCAACAAAAATATATAACTGATGACTTCATTAACAAGCATCCACTTTTAAAATCGTTAATTAAATACTACCAAGAAAATGATTCAAATAACAACAACAACAACAAAAATGGTTTTTTGATATCGTTCATTGATAATTTATTATTTAATCTTACGCGATCGTCAAATCATTTTAGATATACTGAATCAATAAAAAATTTTGCAGTATGTTTATATATTCTTGGTGGAAAACAAGCTTATAATTTTATTCGATTAAATTTATTTGGCTCTATACCAAATCTACCAATGATTTGTGATTTAATAAACAAATCAGATATGAGATTAACTGAAGCAGAATTCAGATTTGAGTCACTTCAACAATTCCAATCACACTTTGGATTCTGCTCTGAAGATACTACAGGTGTTATTCGTAAAGCTGAGTATGATGTAGCAACCAATTCTTTTATTGGATTCGCCACACCAATTATTAATGGTGTTCCAGTACCGAAATATTATCAACCACATACATTTAATGATTTTAAAACTATTTTTAATACAAATGAAGTAGCACCGTTACTGAACGTACATGTATTTCAAAGTGTACCAACTGAAGATAATGCAATCAATATTCCAAAACCATTCGTGTTGTCTGCTTACGGCGTTAATAATAAATTTTCAACTATGGATATCTTACGCCGGTGGATTTACATATTTGAAAGTTGCTTAGATAAAGGTGTTCGTGTTATTGGTTTTTCAACAGGTAATTTTTTTTATTCATTGATGTTTTTTTTTAAATATTTTTCGGTTGCAAATAGACGCAGACAATAAATACATTAGTGGGATGCGTTTTGCGAGTAATTTCTTCGCGTCATTACCCAATTTCAAATTAGACCAGCATAAACATGCATTCAAAATAAATACACCTAATGACTGGACATGGTTTTTTCTTAATACAAATCAACTTTTCGTCTTTCTTCAAGATCCAGTTCATTTGGTGACAAAATGGCGCAACAGATTGTTGTCTACAACTGCGGATTTATGCTTTGGTAATGATAAAATTACTATGGTACATATAGAAGAACTGATCAATAATAGTAATTATACAAAGTTAGATCACTCTTTGACAAAGAGTGATATTAACCCCAAAGACCGCCAGAACTATGCTTCATGTATTAAACTAATATCAGATGATGTAATAAATCTTCTTAATAATAGTCTGCATACAAACGGAACAGTTGTTTATTTAATATTGCTAAAAATGATAGTTAAAGCATATATTGATAAATCAACAAGTGTTAGTGAACGTAAGTTTATTTTTACAATTTAAAATAAAATAATTTAAACTGGTTAGTCCATAAC